TGACTCACCTTGAATACTAACTACAGTGATAATTTGGAGACATTTTGTGGAATCAGGATTAGTGGATATGAAGAAACAATGTGTTCTTATGCCAGGAGTCATTGGAAACTTTCTGCAAACAACAGTGGGATTGAATGCAGAAGATAAATAATGGGCTGGTTTTAACTGGGAAAGATCATAGTGTCTTAATGACAACTAGGTCCGTTTGATTTGTTATTTTGAATAGAATTTTTGAAATAATATTTGGTAGTTGAGTAGGGTTATTATTACGAGAATAAGATTTGAATAAAATATGTTTGGTTGAATATTTTGACCTTGTTATTTGTATTTAATATTTGATTGATATATTTTTTTATAAATGATTTATTAATATAATATTTTAATAATATTAAACATTTTATTAGTAATTTTGTAACCAATAAATATTAAAAAAAAAACCCTATATTAATTTCAAGTACTAATCCAACTATTTAAAAACACCATATTAATACATATATAACAAAGGTATTAATTATCAACCCTTAGAATCGTTGTTACATGTATACTCCATTAACAACTACGACATGATCATATGTGTTGCCCACAGTTCAGTCGTTATGTTATCATGTACAGTCGTCATGTTGTTTATAATACCTTGCTGCAGTTGACTCGGTCCTTCTCCATTTCTGCCATCTTCTGCCCCGTTTTGGCGATCACAATATACTTGCTCATTACTCGTATTTTTAGTATATCGTTCGAAGATAGGGTCTTCCTTATTGTACATTCTGATAAAATTATGAAGTACACAACATGCCATAACAATCTTCCCTTGTTTGTCCAACGAGTAATTGTTCATTCCATTCAGAATACGGGACTGTCTTTTTAAAACACCAAAGGTTCTCTTGACAATATTGCAGAGTGAAGCATGTCTGTAATTAAACAACTCTTGTGGCCCCCTTCGGTTACGGTAGTGATCCAAAATATGGTAAGTCACTCGCCTATGAGGGGCGAGGAACCCCTCTCTATTTGGATAACCCGCGTCAACCAAATAGTATTTCCCTATAATAAAATCACACATGTTATTTGAAAATTTAGGGCCTCAACAGTGGAGCAAATACGCTATAATACATCAAGAAAATATTTACACCTGGTGGAGGATGTGGGAATCCAGAATTAGGATCATCAAGAATTGAATTTAAAACTCTTGAATCATGCGCAAATCCTTCCCATCCAATAACGACATAAGTGAACAATCACCCTAAAGTTGCATACAACCATTACATTTTGTGACAACGTTCCTTTGTGATTCCGATATCTATCGCCAAATTCTTATGGAACCAAAGCGTATACATGTGTGTCATCAATGGCTCCAATACAGTCCTATCATTAAAATTGAATTTTAGTCATATTAACCGACTTTAATATGATGTTCACTTATGTTGTTACTGGAGCCAAAATATTATATTAATAAATCATTTATAAAAAAATATATTAATCAAATATTCAACACAAATAACAAGGTTAAACTACGCAACCAAACACATTTTATTCAAATCATATTTTCGTAATAATAATCTTACTCAACTATCCAATATTATTTCTAAAATCCTATTCAAAATAACAAACCAAACGGACTTTTTATTGCTTATGTGGTTCTATGAGTTCAGTAGTTTCAAAATAACTGCTGCCTGTTCATTTGAGTCCCCAGCACTTCAATGCTGAATTATCTGGAAGTTGATCAATCAATCAAGGATTGAACATTCTAAGCAAAAATATTTTATTCAGGTCCACCCTCGCAATATCTAGTTGACATAGGCATGTGAAGAATATCAAATACTAGATTATGCCTTGAGTAAGCTGAAGAAAAATGGGCCCTTGTTATAGTGTTGTGGCTAGAGAAAATGGTGGCCATTCCGTGTGTTATTATACCCCTTTTCAGTGAGAAGACAATGAAACATATATATAAGCACAACGAGAAGAGGATATATATATCGCGATGGTCAGATGAAGTCAAGTTTTGCGGAAAACTATGACAGATAAAGAAGGGCCATTTGCTTAGCGAATATATAGATATATATTATATAGATGAGCCCTTGAATTTCAAAGTCTTCTTGTATGTTATGAGTCAGTAGCATGGGCACTAATGCAAGCTATTTTCTAGGCTCCGAGAGTAAAACAAGGCCCCATAGGCCATAGGGCACTTGGTTAAACTGACTGCAACTCCTTTGTGGACCGTCTTTCTTAGACCGGCTTTTCAAAATTCTCCTATTAGTAAGCTGAGGTTTAATTTGGAAGCCTTAAAAAAGCTTTAAGAAAGTTGAACAAAGTTCTTGGGAGTTGGGAGTCTACGATATCCACTATGCCATTTGCACTATCTTTTGGGAAATTGTATTCGAGTTGAACCATGTCATGTCTATGAAACCAATTAGTATTTATTCCAATTTTTATACACTATATTTAATTTATCTACTTTCATATAACCCTTTATTAAATCTCATCTTATAAATATTTTCTATATTCCTCTTCTTTCTCTGTTTCTATAATGGTTCTGAATTTGCTATTCCATATTTTGTCACATCATTGACAAGATGAACCACACTACCAAATTTTATCGCATTTTTAAAGTTTCTCCACAAAAATTTCATCTGATTGTCATTTCATATTTCTAAAAGCATTTTGTTGCTGCTCTAGCCACCTGTAATAGTATAATCTCTGAGATGAGTATGGAGATAGGGAACTTGGAATAAGACTTTCACTAAAAACAAAATTCTGATGTTGGACAGTTGGGCTTATAAAACAATATTCGTGGATGAAAGGAGTTTAGAAGTTCTGTCATAAGCTTTGTAAAAGAAGTAGCTCATCCGTACTTTTATCCATTGCAAGTTGCATCTTTAATAAAGATACCGAACTGCCAGTACCTAATTGCTTTAGATAGTGATAGGAGGTGCATGTGGTGCACATTTACACACGGACAAATCCATTAATATTAGTTCTGTGAACCTTTAGTAAGATAAATTTTCCTCGGTAGGTCACTCTCTGGCTGAGCTCTTCAACTAAACTACTTCGTTTGAAAGTTATGTCAGGTGTCGTGGTGTAGTTGGTTATCACGTCAGTCTAACACACTGAAGGTCTCCGGTTCGAGTCCGGGCGACGCCAATTTTAGCTTTTTGGCAATGCTAGTCTTCAGATCAGAGCCACAGGTTTAGTTAGTTGTTTTACCTAATTAAACTCTTTGAAGAGCTCATTCTCACATAAATCTTTATTGGTTTTCAAGCAAGGTCTGCTAAACTGTTTTAAAGTTTGCAATTATGCTTTACAGAAAAGATTTTAACTGTAATTTTGCTTGAGTGTTTTATTTATGGCTCCAAGTCTAACCATGTGCAAGGCATCAGAGATTCCAAGCCCTATTATTCAGTAAGTTGGTCAAACAAAAGGATAATATTTAAGAGAATAGTGATGTGCAGCTCATCTTGGAATTGGCTTTCCTCAAAAAGAGAAAAATAAGGTTCGTGGTTGTGGTGGAATTGGAGTTGGGTTGCTTTGTCCTTCATGGGTTTTGTTCATCTGATCATAGATGTTTATAGGCAAGTTGTAAATCAGAAGCAATGAATCAGTAGGCTTTTGCTTGAAAAAAGTCTGATGGGTAATCTATATTTATGTCTGCTCAGGATAACTAATCTTATTTTTAACATGAATGAACTAGTTTTCTGAAAATAACAGAGGGAAAAAAGAATATTCTTCCTCAACTATATTGTTCAATAGTTGCCAAAACGTTGAAATTTAAAACAGATTTGATTCTTTAAATAATTATAAAAATTCATATTTGAAACTCAAATGATAGAATATAGTGAAATCCCAATTAATTTTTGCGGATTTATAAGATTCTAAAGTTTGTCTGGTGGTCAGACGGAAAAACAGAACTCATTAGATTTACTGTTATTCTTCTTACTTTGACTTACGGTTCTCCTTTTGTTTCTTCTTCATTAGGGAGTTTAGAAAAGAAAATTATGAGCTCAGGTATATATTAGCTTGTGATATTGAATCTCTCTTAATCATTGTGGATAAGTCATCTGCAAATTTCTTAGCAAAAATATGCATAAATCTTGCACTCATAGTGAGAGGGAGTCAGGAGAGGAGAATACAAAATTGAAAAGAGGCGAGGAAACTCTTTTATCATTACAGCTAAACAATAAATTATAAGTACAAAAACTGTATGAAACTTAAAAAAGGAAAAAAAAAAGAAAAAAGCCGCATCATCCTCAGTTTACAAAATGCCCAAACATTTCAAAACTTGGGCCTTCGGAGAGGGCTTTGTCTGTGTGCTATCTGTTTCTTTCTTTTCCTATGTATAATGCAATAAACATATTTTTTTTTTTTTACACCATAAACCTCACTAGGAAAGAAAAAAAAAAAAAAAAGAAGTAAAATCCTAGCTGCTCCACAAGCTCTGGTCGATAATTAAAATCAATTTTCTGAAAATCGGACCGGACCGTTTCGACTGGGAGCCGGCGGTATTTTTGGTCCGGTATCTCATAAAAACTGGCATTTACCGTTAAACCGGATTGAGCCGCAGTTGGACCGTTGGAATACTGCCGAGTCGCGATCCAATCATAGTCCAATCGCAGCTCAATCCCGCTGGATTCCAGCATCGTTCGACGGAGAAAACACCACCATTCGACGTGACGACATCTCCACTACCAAACCCATCCATTTTCAGTGTCTGTCATCCAGCATTCGTCGCTCGCCATCCACCTAAAGTTTAAGCGACCGTCGAATTTCTTTTGTTGATTCCGACGAGTTCTAGCGCCGATGGAACTCCCTAGCACTACCATCAAATTCGCCGGCACCTATACATCAAAACCAATCTCTTCGTGCGAGAGGGGTGTTTTTGATGAATTTCAAACCTTTAGGGACTAAAATGTACTTTTATAGAATACGGTCCAACCGACCGATCCAACCAGTCAAACCGAAAACTGGACCCTTGAATGGGTTATAGTCCGGTCCGGTTTTCAGGACATTGATTAAAACTGTGAAATGCATCGTCTATGGCAAGCGATTGTTTTCTTTTTCTGCTGTTTAGTTTCTTGTTTCCAGACCTTGCCAATGTCTTGTGCTATTCTGACGGCATCAGAGGATGCACCGGAGAGCCCTCTCCTTGTGAACCCAACTGCATAGAGACCAGCATTTCCTTTCCACCCACTTGGGAATTGTGCCTTCGGGAATCCATTCTTTGAGAAGAATTCAGTTTCCTGCACATCATAAGAACCAAAACAAGATTAGCTCATTTGTCCATAGTTGACTAAATCACATAAGAAGCTTCTAAAACATTTTTCCTTTTATAGAAAATCAGAACTATTCACTTTCTGACATTTTCTTTAATCATCCTTTTTTTTTTTTTTTTTAATAAAACCCAACTGTTAAAACTGTCCTTTATAGCAGGAATTAGGAACATTTTCTCACCTGAAGCCAAGAAGGAACATTGCTGCGGTATCCGGTAGCTAGGACAACTGAATCAACATCAAGCTTGTCACCATTAACAAGTTCAACTTGACCACATGAAAACCTTTTGATTCCAGGAATCACCTTAATATCACCGGATCTGATTTTCTCTAGAGCACCAATGTCCAGTACAGGGGTCTTTCCCTTAGTGTTCTTGAGTTGTAATGGACCCATTGATGGCCTCTTTAGCCCATATTTCTCAATGTTTCCGAGCACAAACCATGCAAAAATCAACAAAAGCTTGTCAACAAGCCAGAGAGGTAGCCATTTCATCATCAAGACTGCCAATTCAAATGTTGATTTCCCAAAGGTTTCTCTTGGTAAGACATGAACCTGTAAACCATAAGCAGAACAAACTCCATTAGAATCTTGCCTTTATATTCATATTTTCCTTGAAACAAGATTTAACACAAGTACTATATAGATAACTTACCGAGCTGCGAATAACCATTGATGGAGTGGCATTGTGGTTGCAGAGATCAAGGGAAAGTTCCATGCCAGAATTGCCACAACCGACGACTAGTACGTTCTTTCCCTTAAATTTTTCGCCGGATTTGTAATCACAAGCGTGAATAACTTCACCACCAAACTCAGCCAATCCTTCAATTTCTGGTATAACACGCTCAGCATTTTCACCAGTAGCCACCACAAGCCACCTGCAAATGTACTCAACCTCAGTTCTGGTTGTGCCGCTAGTGGAAACGGTCTTGACCCGCCAGAAGCCACTGGTCTCATCATATCTAGCTGATTGCACACACTCATTGAATTTTGGGTTGATCTCGAAATGATTTGCATATGATTCAAGATATTGAATGAACTGTTTCTTTGAGGGGTACTCAGGGAAGTCTTCAGGGAATGGTAATTTAGGAAGTTGGCAGAATTGTTTAGGAAGGTGAAGCTTAAGCCTATCATAGGTGCGTTTTTGCCACAAAGAAGCAATGCAGTCAGCTCTTTCAAGGACAACAAAGGGCACCCCTTGGTCTCTAAGGCAAGCAGCTGTGGCTAGCCCTGATGGTCCAGCCCCAACTATGACCGGACCATTAACCCAAATGCATCTACGAGAGAAGAAATCTTCATGATCAACAAGACGAAACAAATTTTCCATTTTGAAATACTAGTTTAAATGTAGGAGAAAGTGGAAGTTGTTTGTGTTCTGGAGTAAGCTGAAGGATGATACTGTTTTAGACGAACGGTCTTTTGAATATTTAGAAGAGGATCAAATAGATTTGAATAGACAGAGAGCTTATTGCTTGTTTGCTGTTAGAAATGTAGTTTTGGTTTGGAGGGAGAGTTGGGGGCTTAAATAGGGGATACGCATGTGCTCAGAGTGGAGACTGGAGAGTTAATGCACTTTGAAGGTCATTCTCAAATCATAAGCCTTAGCTGCCTTTTATTATTTTATTCAATTTTTTTAAACATCATATTATTGGATCTTACTAAACTATACTTGCTTAAAATATTCAGGATTGGCACTATTTTATTCTTTCTCGGGAAACTTTTCACTATCAGGAGGCGTTCGGTAGTTTCTGTTTTTATATGGAGGCATAGAATTTCTTGATGCTGATGACGAAAATCAAATGGCGCAGTAAATTACAGTTTCATATGCTTTGTGTAAAATATCGGATATTTTTATGTGATTGATACTTATATTTCAAATGCTGCTAACAAATTTAAGTAATAAAGTCCATCCGGGGAATGTTACTGACATAAAATTACCTCACATAGAGTCAATCGAAGTATTAGAGGGAGAATTAGGGAGCATGAAAATGCCATATGAGAATTCTATGGACCCACAAAGAGCTTAGAGCCTATAGAGTTTTAAAAATCTCTATAAATTGATGCGCACGTGGCAGAGAAGGAGTGCTGACTAGGACGTCTATGATGCGCCCACGTGGAGTGGATGAGCCAAGTTGCAATTGGGGGACTAGTGTCACAAACTCACAATCTTGGACCCCCACTAGACTGCAAGCATTGGGATTGCGACTTGAAAGGCTGTTTCGGCCCACAAAGCCCATTCTGCCAACCACCTCCTT